TGCTGTGATTCCCTTTGGCCCTAGAATAATGCCCAGTGTTCAGAGGCCACGTACCCTGAACTCAAAAGTTCTGAGGACATAGTTGACTGGCTAACACAGGACACCCAATCTTCTACAGCTTCCGCTCGGAACCTTGACGCACCATCCTCCTCCAGCTTAGCTTCGGGTGGGGAGGCTGAGGGTGGTGGTGAGGCTGGTGGGGGGGGTGGGAAGGCTGAGGGTGGTGGTGAGGCTGGTGGGGGGTGGGAAGGCTGAGGGGGGAGGCGAGGCTGGTGGGGGGGTGGGAAGACTGAGGGTGGTGAGGCTGGTGGGGGGGTGGGAAGGCTGAGGGTGGTGAGGCTGGTGGGGGGGTGGGGAGGCTGGTGTGGGGAGGCTGGGAGGGTGAGGCTTTGGTGGGGAGGCTGGTGAGGCGGAGGGTGGTGAGGCTGGTGTGGGGGGTGGGGAGGCTGGTGGGGGGAGGCTGAGGGTGGTGAGGGAGCCTACTTTCTCTTCCCTGGTGGTCCAGTGGCCACTTCTTCCGGTCTGCAGCTCCGCAGAGCTGCAGACCGTGTAATATCGCAAGACCATCAGAGCGTTGCCATGGTAACCTGCGGCAATGCTCTGATTGGCCAATTCTCGCGAGACACATGGTCTGCAGCTCTGCTCACTGCGGAGCTGCAGACCTGTGTCTGCGATGGTGGCCGGGCTGCCAGGAGGGGCCTCGCACCCGGCGGCATACCGGGCAAGCCGCCGGGCCCACTCATGGTGTCAGGTCCTCGGTCACTGACCGAGGACATGACACAGTCTGCCATAAGGCGGTTTAGGTGGCCGCGAGGCCCCAGCCAGCGCGAGACCTTAGGCGGCCACCTAAACCGCCTAATTAGAGAGCCGCCTCTGTTTGCGGTGCATTAAACGGGGAGTTTGGTCTGTCACTGTGAAATGGGCGTAACCCTTACACTACCTGATCGATACATCATACCTGATGTTTTAAAGCACGTTATTCCAAACAATTTAGGAATGTTAGGTGATTTATGCCCTTTATGGATTAAAACCAGACTCTGCATCAACTATGTAATTTTCCATGGGAGTTTTACCATGGATCCCCCTCCGGCATGCCACAGTCCAGGTGTTAGTCCCCTTGAAACAACTTTTCCATCAGTATTGTGGCCAGAAAGAGTCCCTGTGGGTTTTAAAATTCGACTGCCTATTGAAGTCTATGGCGGTTCGCCGGTTCGCAAACATTTGCGGAAGTTCGCGTTCGCCGTTCGCGAAACGAAAATTTGATGTTCGCGACATCACTATTCTCAAAGTGTCCCACCAAGATGTTGCAGAGATGTTCTTGTTGTTTATGCACTGGAAATAGCCTCCTCTTTACTTCCCCATTACTAATTATCCACCACATTAGGTAGGGTAACTTTTTACTCAATTTTTTTGAGTATTTTTTTCTACTCTTTCTTTTTTTTAGTTTATAAATATTTCTTAGTTAACTGTAGTTAAATTTAATATTTTCAGATCCTGAATAAATGGGGGGGGGTTATATTTTATGGGTGCCATTGAGCAATTATTTGTTCTGCAATAGCATATAAATATGTTGACCCTGACAATCTGTGTATGTGCGATGTTCAAACTATTAATGTCTTCAATATAAAGCTGTTAAATTTGAAAAAGTGACTTGTGTGTCTGTGTGTAATTTAACAAGTAATGCTTTAACACTTAATTTAATTTTAGGAAGCAGTGGGAAGCACTGAATTCATTATGGATAAACTTAAAATGAAAAGTCTTGTTAAATACTTTTGATCTAACGGGAAAGATTGATATTAAAAGTATTACAGGAAAGGCAAATAAAGAAAAAATAAATGTAAATTGACCAGGTAGGCCAGGAAGATAGGTAGATTTAGGAAAGAGACATGGTTGCAGTCCTGGAGCTGTAGAGATAGAAAAATACTTTTCTCCATAAATTAGTAATTGCAGAGTAGAAGAAGAAAGTGGTGGATATTCAAGGGAGAAAGCATCTGTGCAGAGACTCATCCTAGCAATACCAAAGAGGTACAAAAAAGTTCTAATATAATCCATGCAAGGTCACAGAGGATACTGGGGTTTACGAGTGGAGAACTGTTTGTATTTGGTATCCAGAAAACCAGAACACAAATAAATGAATGGGCTTTAAGATAATGACAAGATTCTAGAACAGGTTGCTTGAAGGTGTAGTTAGTAGATATAGATAAACGTACAGCTAAACATTCACTAATTGGGCTGTTTGTAAGCACAGTATAATTACGATAACACTTGTCTAATGTCCCATAATTACCCCTAATGCCAACATTTCATACGTAGTACTTCATAGTTAGGGTCAGGTAATGCTAAGTCAATCTAAGTTAAAAAGTGACATGTCAAAAGCAGCTATTATGAATTACACTATTATGACAATGCACTCTTATGAATGCAGCACTGTCATAGCATCACCCAGAAGCATTTCTCTCTAACTCATTCTCATTACATTGATGAAATATTTTTTAAAGGAATACTCTGGGCACCATAACCACTTTTTTGCAATAAAGTTATTATGGTGCCTGGGGTCACCTGGCATAGTATTGCCAAACATACACTCTAACACTTAATGAAAATCATTCTAGTGGCTGGAAATCAATAGTATGAATAA